GTTCCGCTTTTCTGTTCTGCACAGTTCCAGTCTGGCTGAGCAATTGGTTTGTGAGTCAAAGCTGGCCTTCCTTTATACAGGCCTTTATTATTAAAACACATAAAACAAAATACACAGAAAATAAGCACTAGAAAAGATATATATTCCAAATATATATTAAATATATATTCCTAAACCAGAGATTTCACAGCTTTTCATGTACTTCTACCTCTCTCACCATCAGACCTATAAGAGTTCAAGTTTGCTTTGGAAATCATGGATACAGCTAATGAGTGACCATTAGTGTGATCAACATGAAGTCTCCATCCTAAACACAAGCAGAGTCTGAGAGTTACACTTCCACAAGAAGAGCCCATTTACAACTATTGAATTTATTTGGACATTTAGAATAATAAAATAAATGCTACATTACAGTGCAGTGAGAGCAGGTATATCTATTGAGGTTGAGCTGCAGGTGTGATACACAGAGAATTAAAAAACAATATTGTGTAAATGGATTGTTGTCTGCTACTTTGCTCCTTCATTTGAAAGTACATCAAAGCCTGTGGTCCTCTACCTGTAGTAGAGTAGTTTGTAAACAGCAGTTTGTTTCTTGGTAGCTCCTGTTGTTTTTTCCTGGATTCTGGTAGTAGCTAGGGATACATTCATGACTATGGCTAACAGCCAGTCTAAACAATCCCAGTTTGATCTATAATCTACTATCCTCAGATATCGGCTCTGAAAATAATAGGTCTAGTAATAAGATGACACATCTTTGGTAAAGAAGTTCAATACAGCAACACTTTGTTTGTGTTAGTTGGCTTGACAAAACCTAAGACCCAGTTAAAGATTTCATACCTGTTCATTGAGGTGTCAAAAGTAGAGACAGTCTGTACTTTAGTAGAAGTACAGATACCAGTGTTAAAGAATACTGCAATAAAAGTTGAAGTACTGATTCAACTCCTTTACTCAAGTAAAAGTAAAAAAGTACAGGTTGTGAAATATACTTCACACTACTTCCACTACAGTGACAACATTACTACATAAAAGTAGCTTCTTGAAGACAATTTCGACCACCTATTTTTATGCAGAGCCAACTGAACCTTGTGCTATATCAATGTTCACGTGTTTAAAGTTCACATGGTGATTTAGGCACTTGCTTGACACAGAACACTCTGACTTTAATCTCAAAATAGCTCCTTAACGCATTAATTGTTTTGTAGTACACAAACCTGGTAATTGTCATCATCTTTATTTTTATAAATATAAAGTTCACAAATCTTCAAATCACATTCACCACACCACTAATAATTATTATTTGCAGTAGTTTTTCCTTCTTCTGATATTAAAAGGAAAAAATGCAGTGAAAAAACAGAGTAAAAGAGATGGCATTTAAAAATCACAAGAAGCATATTAAGCCTAAGATTCTAGTACTTAGTTGAATAAATAATGGTTTTATTAATTTCATTATAGAGGCATACAGATCTTTTAATCAATGCACTAATTAATCAATGAAAAGAAGAAAAAAAACTTATTTTTATTAAGACAGTAGTATGTAAATATTTTGCTAGACTAGTATGCTGATTCTCATTTAAAATCCACCTTCCAAACTATTCACCTGATACTGTATGATTATGACAGAATCAATCACTTGTCTGCTGCATCAAGATCATTTCAGTTCAACTCACATCATTAAATATGCACATCTTCTGTTTCACCATTTAACTCAATAATATGTTTGGATATTAATTCGCATCTTGCAATCCACATTGTAAATTAATATGTATGTTTTTTATAGTTTTTTTTTTAAATGCCACAATAGCAACGAAAACAAGTGCACTAACAAGCTAATGTGTTAGTCACAAGTAACTGCCAATACGTTGCCAAAAAGTATTAGATATTTTGCACCATAAATTTGTGTCTGGAAAATACTATAAGATATATATATATATTAATCTTTTACACTCAGCACACATCTGAGCACCAAATTACTTCATCTTGGTAAATTTCATAATGCTAGCTTCTTATATCTTTTGTTTTTCCTTTGGTCGGCACACCCGGTTTTATAGCACAGTAAAAACTTTTGGTGAAGTCACTGGAGTGAACTTGAGTGCTGCCTACATGTTGATCATGATTTGTGCTACAGTCAACAGTGTTAGCGCCCATATGCCAATTGTAGACTGAAGACTGGTTGATGATGACACTCCTGGAATATTGAGAAAAAAAAAAGTACCTCCATAAAATTCTCTGGACTTATAAACTTGAGTTCTCATCTTGCTTTTATGTGTAACACTGACAGCAAAATTATACAACATTATATAGGGTAGTTTACATTAATAAATTCAAACTGCAGAATATGTGGCCAGAAACTTACTTATACTGCCTTGTATGATGTCCAGTGTGGTATTTTGGAGTGCTTTTGTCAGCGCTGTAGTTGCATTAGTTAGTGATGGAACCGAGTTTCGATCTTGGAACACAAGAGCCATGTTGACAACTACTGATCCATTACTAGAATGACAAAGACAGAAGCAATACTTCTTAAAAGCAGTTGAAGGACAGATATCTAAGAAAAACATAAGTCATGGACAGAAATTTAGCCTTACTTAAAGCTGTTAACCCTGGAGCGTAGGAATGATGCAAAGACATTTTTAACCAGTCTGTTTATCTGAAAGAGAACATTATTGTGAAGTGTTTACAAGTGTTTAATAAAGGTTAAAGAAAGAAATGAAA